AGGATAACATCATGAAGACTGCAAATTCTAAAATACTAAACTGTACTCATGCAGAACCCACACATAAAGAAGACAGTTGTTCAAACAGACAAGGAAACAATGCATGGTTTAAAATCAGGAAAGTATGTGTCAGAGTTGTATCTCTTCACCATATTTATTCAAGCATGCTCAGAAAATAATCCAAAAAACTATATGAAGAATGCAGGATCAGGACTGGAGGAAGACTCACTAACAATCTGGGATATGCAGGCAACACAACCTTGCTTTCTGAAAGTGAAGAAGACTTGAAACACTTACTGATGAAGATCAAAGACTGCAGCCTTCAGTATGGATTAAACCAAAAACCAAACCCACTCCCATCGAGTTGATTTAGTATAGATTACACCTTAACATTCAAAAAAAAAAACACAACTGGACCATAAGCAACACCATGATAAATAGAGAAAAGAAAAAACACCTCACAACTGGACCATGAGCAACGCCACGATAAATGGAGAAAAGACTGAAGCTGTCAAGGGTTTCATTCTACTTGGATCCACAATCAACCCCCACGGAAGCAGTGGTCAAGAAATCAAATGACACCGCATTGGGCAAATCTACTGCACAAGACCTCTTTAAAGAGTTAAAAAGCAAAGCTGCCACCTTGAGAACTAAGGTACACCTGATCACAGCCACGGTATTTTCGATTGCCTCATATGCATGGGAAAACAGGACAATTAATAAGGAAAACCACAGAAGAAGTGATGCATTTGAATCATGGTGTTGGCAAGGAATATTGAATATACCATGTGCCAGAAGAATGAACAAGTCTGTCTTGGAGAAGTACAGCCAGAATGACCCCTAGAATAACCCTAGAGATCGGTCCCAAGAGTCGGCATCATGCTTGTTAAAGTAGAAGGTCCACGAAAAAGAGGAAGGCTGAACGAGACAGAGTGACACAGCAGCTGCAACAATGGGCTCCAACACGGCACCCAGTGTGAGGATGATGCGGGACCAGGCAGTGTTTCTTCTGTTGTGCACAGGGCTGCTCAAGTGGGAACTGACCCATCCACACATAACAACGAACTTCTAAAAAACAATCAGTTGCATTAATCCATTCCATCCCAGATTATATCACGTAACAGTAGTAAAGCCAGACAGAGAATAAAGATTTAGAACAGAAATTCTACTGTTTACATCAGGTCAAATTCCCTCAGTTGTGAGCAAATGCCATCCTATGAAAATCTCCTGAAAGCTTGCCTATATAGGCTAGTGGAGGAGGAGGAGGAATAAGAAGGGAAGAAGGGAAGGAAAGAAAAGGTCTCAATCTTACTGCAATCTTCCATTAACAAGGACTCATGTCACAGGCCTCTATGTTGATGTCAGTCTTGTCCTTCACCTCACTCACTCACATGACAGGGCCTGTACCTCCTATGTCCCATCATTGTCTACCAGTGCCCACCTCACTTCTTCAACCACACTGGCCTCTACCTGTCCTCAACCCTGCCTTGCTCACCCACCTCAGGGATTTTGCCCTCACTGTTCCTTCCAGCTGGAACACTCCTGCCCCAGACCTTCCCGACTGGCTCATTCTCATGTTTCTTGCCAAAGTTCACCTCCTCCATGAAGGCCTATCTCATCTTCTAGCTAGAATGGACCCATCCATCTCCACCCAACTCTAACTTTGCCCCCAAACCCCAAAAAACAAAAAGCAGCTCTGGTGGGACAGGGGTTAAAGCACTTGGCTGGGAACCACAGGTGGGTGGTTCAAACCCACCAGCCCCTATCCGTTGTCCTGCTTGTATTTTGGTTTATCCTGGGGCCCCATCACTAACCAAAAGGATATTGTCTGCTTGCTTGCTTGTCTCAGACACCCAGTTCTGTGAAGGCAGGGAGTTTAGCCTCACTCACTACTGTATCCGGCACCTGGACTGTGCCTGGCAAATGGTGGGCGCTCAAGAAACACTTGTTTGAACAAAGGAACAGAATGAATGAATGAACATATGAGTTCCAGCTGGTGGGGCACAGACCCATGATCACGAAATGGTGCAGGGCACGCAATGGGAGCCAGAAGGGAGAAAGGCCTCTTTCCTCACAATGGTGAGGCTGCCAAAGCCAAAGTAGCAAGGAGCAAGGCCAGAGAGGGCAGGATCAGGAAGAGACAGAAAGGGACAGAGGCCGAGTAACCTGCAGGGCAGGAAGCAGCGTACCCATCTGCCAGCGTACCCATCTGCCCGTCTGCCCGTCCGAGGGGGCGGGTCCTCACCTCATGCGATTTCCCAGTTTGCACTCGCCCTCCCCAGTCTGCCGTGGGGATCTTTACAGCACCTGTGCCCCTGGACGGGGACAAGCAGGTCACCCAACAGTCATCCCCAATCCCAACCCCCTCAAAGACGCTAACGATCAGAGCCAGACCTCAAGCTCCAACCTGGGGAACACAGGGCTCAGATCTGTGCCTGTTGCACAGGTCTCTGCTGAGGGGCAGCTGCCCCAGGAAAGAGCCCAAGCGGGTCTAACTGAACAGAGGAATTTGGTGGTTGAGGGCTCCGGAGGCTGGCTCTCCCACTTACCACTTGTGTGCCTTGCAAGAAATTATTTAACCTCCCTGGACCTCAGTTTCCTCATCAGTAAATTGGAGATAATTTTAACACGTTGTTGTTGTTGGGTGCCATATCATAGAGACCCTCCAGGACAGAGCAGAACTGCCCCAGAGGGTCTCCAAGGCTGGAATCTTTACAGAAGCACATCTCCAGGTCTTTCCTCCCAAAGAGCCACTAATGGGTTCAAACTGCTAACTTGCTGGTTAGTAACCAAGCACTTTCCCATTACACCACCAGGGCTCCCTATAGTAACACCTACTTCGGGTTACAGACGGTGCTGAAAAAGTACTATGTGAAGAACTTAGAACTGTGTCTTTCACATACAAGTTTTTTTTTTCCCCCAAAGTAAATATGTAAAAATTAATTAAAAGGTGTTCTTTTTAACTGTAACCTAAAATGACTTTTTAATAAAGAGTAAATTACAACACATCCACAAAGTGTTATTGTCTTAAATAGAAGCCGTCTGTTATCTTTTTTCCTTTCAATAAGTTTTTTTGTCATTTAAAGAAATTATTAGTGATTTTGATTTAAACCAAAGGGATCATGAGTACGTTTCTACTAGACCATAGGAACATTACTTACAGGTACACTTTTCAGAGTTTGTTTTTTAAGCATAGTTTCTCTAGCTTTGCACAGAGATCTTGAGCTCACAGTGAGGAAAAAGTGTCCAGGTAAGGGAAGTGAACCATCTCCCCACAGGGAAAGGCTAGCTGCCCTCTGGTGGCCAAGAGGCCTGGGCTGCACGGAAAAGGGGAGGCTGGGAAGGATCTGGGAAGGATCTAAGAAGCCCCAACACTGGGCCCTTGCCCCTCCACTACGTCTCCCACTGTAGAGCCACCTTATTCCGCTGCAGGGAGGGCAGAAAGGACTAGCCAGCTCTCCCTGAAGCAGGTCTGCCCTCGGTGGGTGGCAATGTCCCAGAGCGCCCCCCCCCTTACTGGATAAGATCCAGAAACAAGAGACACTGTCTCTCCCTTGGAGGCTGGTGGAGGTCCTATGGGATGCGGGTGCCTTTGGGATGATCTATCAGTGCATTGTGGGGCAGGCAGAAAAGCTGAGCAGGTAGACAGGAAAAGACTAAGGCTGGCAAAGGGGTTTCCACAGGGCCCCAGAGGCCTCGGGGGGACATACAGCTTCTGTCCACCAGCCCTGGCTTTGGGCCTGGCCCTGCTGAGGAAGAAAGATGATGTGCTGGAAAAAGGAAATGATTCAAAGGACAATCTTCAAGAGAGTTTCCAAACCCTCAATAGAAGAACTAGTGCCCCTCCAGAGTTAAGAGGGAAAGAGAGACCAGAGACACTAGCAGGTCAGGAGAGATCAAAGGGATTGTTAAGAATCCAGGGTTACCCAAAATAAATAAATAAATACCCACTGCTACTGAATGGATTCCAACTCAAAGCGACCCTACAGGGCAGGGTAGAACCGCCTCAAAAGGTTTCCAAGTCTGTAAATCTTTATTAGTGCAGCCTGCCTCATCTTTCTCACACAAAGCTGCTGGTGGGTTTGAACCCCTGACCTTTTGGTTAGCAGCCAAATGCGCTAACCACTGCACCACCAGAATCCAGGGTTGGGATGAGTCAAAGGTATCATTCAGTCTCAAAAGTCAAAGACTGGAGGGCCCCACACGACTGGGTAGAGGGTCTGAAGAGAGGTGCCCTGCAACTACGGGAGCTAGTGACAAACAACTGATTGTAAAAAGCTGGTCTTTGTGGCAACCCAGAATCTGTATACTTCAGGCACTCGCTAGCTGCTGACACAGCAGCAAAGGCTGGCAGTTACTGAGCACGTACTAGCCTTTAATATTAACATTTAAGAGGCCTTCTGTTGAGTGCTTTATGCACAATGCCTGAACTATCCCTCCTATCAACCCATTTCACAGATGAGGAAACTGAGACTTCATGTTCTTTCAATTGCCCAACGTCACACAGTAAACGACGCGGCCAAGACGCTGAAGGCTCTGCTATTGTTTCCAACACTTTGCCCAGAAGGGAAAATGAAACTCTACAGAATGTTTAAAAAAAAAAAAAAAAAAAAAGTACACTTCCCCAGGGCCCCTGCCCAGATCCCCGAGGAGGGACCTAGACATCTGCACTTTATTTTCTGTATTTACTATTTCTGAAAAGGCGTTTGCCCACCACTGCGCCTTGCAGTGCTGCCTCCTGAACAGGAGAGGGCGTGCCTGGAGGCTGCCAGGTGACCCTCGCTCGACCCAGGGCTCCACCAGGTGGGCCGGTCCCTCCTCGGGAACAGCGAAGCCCTTCAGCTGAAACTCTTTGGCAATCACTTCCATGTCGCACCGCCCTCGCCAAGCAGGCCCGCAGGGCATCGCAGGCGGCTTACAAGGGCAGTGGAGTGGTCGGGCACGTGAGACTGTCAGGTTTCCAGGTGCGTCCAGGCCCGGCGGCGCCCACTGCGGCCCCCTTACTTGGCATAGTAAACCCAGCCGTCCTTGGTGGTTCTTTCCTCCCAGCCCGGAGGCAGCTCGTCCTCGCTGTCCGTGTCGTCTAGGCCTGCGTAGCGCAGGGCTGCCATGGCGGGTGGACTTGACGCTCGGTCACCCACTCGCTGGGTCGCCTGCCGCTGGGTCTCTTCACCTAGAAACTCCCTCTTCAATCGAGCGCCGCGCGCGTCTTCCTCTCACCGCTGGCGCCTGCGCACTGCCCCGCCCAAAGCTTCTCGGCTGATTCTGTAGCTCTAATCCAGTCTCCGGAGTTTCACAGCTTCCAGGGGAAAACGGGCGGGGCCGAAAGAAGCGTGGCGAAAGTGTCTATGAGGTTCCACCACCACATGGCTGGAAGTAAAAGCCGGAGAATGCTCTATGATTTCGGAAATGGACCTGAGGTTGGCCAATCTGCCGGCGGCAGGGAAGGGATTTGCGCGTCCACTCACGGTCCAGAACTCCATCCGTTGCTGGGAGACCCATAATCCCTTCCGCGTTGTACAAACCAATCTTGAGGGAGCTTCAGCAGTAGGGCGACCTGGGAAATGTAGTCGAGGCTCAACCATGCTAGAAAGTGGAACTGCCCGGGAAGATTCCTACGGCAGTTCTCTGGGCTGCAGCCTCTGCTTATTTTAGGTCTTTGTGAAGAGCGAACATCCTTGCTCAGAAACTTTGCAGGGCTACCACCCAGACTGTGAGTCACAAACTTTTTTGCGAATATGAATCATAAATGCAAATCCCCGCTCTTTCCAGTTACCCAGTCAATCTGATAGTTTTTTGTTATTTGGTTTTTTTTTTTTCCCCTCTCTTCAGCATGGTTCTGTTAATAATAACTAACATTTATGGAGCGCTTAATATCGGGTCCCGGGCTGGGAATTTACGGACTGTCGCTTTTATGTACTGAACAGCTTTGTGAGGTGTTAGCTAACTACCCAAAATGCACAGCTAGAAAGCCGAGAGCTGGGGATAGGGACATTTGCGACTCTCTTAAAAAAAAAAAAAAAACTCACTGCAGTGGAGTGGATTGGACTCATAGCGACCCCTTCTTGGGTTTCCGAGGCCCTATCTCTATAGAAGTGCTGCACTGTAATTCCCTGTGTTCTCCCCACCAAACTGACAGAGAAAAGCATATCTTAGAGTTCTTTTTATCCCTTGCACTAAAATGTCTGGACCTACAAGTGTGCTGAATGAGTGCATGAATGTGACTCTGCACTAGGAGTGGTCCTTCAGGAATCAACCCTAATTTTATTATTATATTATTATTTACAAATTTACAAAGCAGATTTCTTCAAGTCCTCTTGGAGCGCTGGCAAGCATCCTATAAATGTCCTGTATAAAAAAAAAAAATCCTGCAGCATGTCTTCAACTTGGCCTTCCCCCACCTTTGGAACTTGGGTCCCTGCCCTGTATTACAGGGAAATCTGTTGACTACAGGCCCCTATCAGATTTTAAAAAAAAAAAAAAGAAGAAGAAGAAGAAGTGTTTTAAGCACAGCAGCTTTGCTTTTGGTCTTTTTAAGTCCTGAGGTTGTTATTGTTTTAGGATTCCTCCTTTGCTTGTTTTTTACGGGAGAGACTCGTTTTCCTTTGAAATTGCCCAACCAAAAGCTGACTTAATGAAGTCACGTTTTAGTTTTAACAGGTCTTCTCTCCCATCTGAAACCTATCGAAACATGATTTTTTCCCCAAATGTGTATTTAAATAAGCCATTATTAATCTGCTGTTCTTATGCTCACCCCTGTTTACTCCCTTTCTCCTCTCACCCAAACCCACTTATTCCTTTGATGTTGTTGTTGTTTGCCATCAAGTCAGCCCCGACTCATAGCGACCCCTCCTTGGGTTTCCGAGGCAGTATCACTAAGGAAGTAGGATTGCCCAACCTTTCTTCCGAGGAGTGGCTGGTGGGTTTGAACCGCCAGCCTTCTGGTGAGCAGTCAAGTGCCTTACGCACTGTACTACCAGAGCTCCTTTGATGTGAATAGGAAATTTGATCTTCAAGGCCCCCTCATGGTGGGAAGCAGAATGAATAGGGCCAAACTGATGAGCCTCAGTATCACCAATCATTATGTGTGGCCTGACTCTACATTTGTCTTGGATTACCCCTGGCCAGGGGAGCCTGGGTGGTACAAGCAGTTTATACCCAACTACTAACTAACCGCTTAGTGCCTAAGGCACTTGACTGCTAAACAGAAGGCTGGCGGTTCAAACCCACCACCCACTTCTCTGAAGGAAAGTTGGGCAATCTACTTCTGTAGTAATACTGCCTCGGAAACCCAAGGAGGGGTCGCTATGAGTCGGGGCCGACTCGATGACACATAACAACAACTAACTAACCTATAGGCTGGTGGTTCAAACCCATCCAGCAACTCTGCGAAAGCAAGCCCTGGCAACTGCTTCTGTAAAGATTACAGCCAAGAAAACGCTGGGGAACAGTCGTACTCTGTAACACGTGGGATCAGCATGGAGGCTGAGGGGGGCTTGATGACAGGCAACAAATACCACCCCTGACCAGAGCCTCTACTGGTGTCCTGTTACCTCCAACTTGGCATCAGGCCACAGGTGCTAATATGGCACGATACCCTCTCCAAACTGGGCAGTGGTCTCCCTGGTAGAATTCTCAAGCTCGAGGTCCACCTTCTACTGCTCCTGCCGCTTCAACAATTCCCTCGCAGACCTGTCCTGCCATCTACACTTAGGTTTCTCGACCTCAGCACTACGAACCTTTGGGCCCCGATCATTCTTTGTTGTGAGAGGCTCTCTTGTGCATTGTGGGTCGCTCAGCAGCGTCCCCAGTCTCGACCCACCAGCTGATGCTCCCCAATTATGACAACCCAAACCTCTCCAGAGCTGTCACCTATCCCCTAGGGGGCACAAAACCATCCTCCGTTGAGAACCTCTCATCTGCGGTTACCGGAAAGTTACTAACTGGTGAATAAAACGCTGAGGTGTGTTTAAGGCATTGAAGAGCCCATTTCTGGCTAAAGACCTCAGGGTGGTACTTGGGCCCTGTTGGCTTCCAGCACAGGTTCTATAGCATTGTTCCAATGCACCTGCCTCTTCATTCCTAGCCTATCTTTGCAGCAGAGAGACACAGACCAGCAGGGAGGCTGGGTGGGAGGCCTAGACACCAATAATGGTCCCAAGCAATGATTACGACTTCATCTCATTTCTTCTCTCCTTACATCTTAGTTGTTGGGCTTTATCAGAAGGTTGAAAAAATAAGACATACAGGCATTTGGGACTCGTGAGGATTAGCATGTCAGATTTTAGGGTTTATATTCTTCTGGCTTCTCAAAAATTGATACTGTTTGTGTCATCAAAAACCACAACTTATTCAAGACCAAGAATTTATGGATAGGTTACACATGGACTGAGCTAGTATATTTGCAGGGCCTGAGGGACCCCAAAGACAGGCCCATTTTTTCTCTCTCATGGGTTTCATGGTCTCTTAAACCCCACCCCACTCCCACCCTTGCTCTTGGGCTACATTTTCTGTTCTCTCCTTATTAGCTTCCTTTGTTTACTCATCGGTTTTGCTTCCATCTCCCAAGCCCCCATCCATACCTTTAGCTTGCATATAGCATTCACTGTGCAAGGCCTTGTGTAGTATGATTAGAATGAGCAGCCTTCAATTGAGGAATGAGCCAAATTTTTCAAAATATACCCCTAAGGAAGCACCATCAATGGACAAATACATAAACTATGGTACATCCAGGCACAACTGAATAATTCACCACATTAAAGAGTAACAGTGAGTCTGTGAAACAGCTTATAACATGGGTGAAACTACAAGACATTATGTGAGTGAAATTACTTAATCATGAAAGTACAAATATTATATGAAACCACTACTGTCAAAAGTCCAGAAAAGGTTTACACAAACACACACACACACACACACACTCCTAAGGGAGTCTAAAGAGTGTTTAGTTTTTGTGAAGCAGGATCACACTGATTATTAGTGAGGTTATTAAAAAAAAAATCAACATATGGTTATTTAACTGGACACCAGATGGCCCTATCTGCCCATGATTTTAAACGCTGAAGCCTAACTCATTACTGGAGTTAAGGATTTTTACATTTGAACTTTTTTTTTTTCCATTACTTCTGCAACTTCTGACAATTTATGGACATAAGATTGATTTTTTTTTTTTTTTTTTTGCTGAAAGCAAATTGGAGCTACTTAAAAAAAAAATGTATGCAGTAAGTGCAAGTTTTTGCATAGCACATAGCATTTCAAAAGCTATATTACTTTAATTTATTGTCATTACCATAATGGTGGTCATTCCCTCCCAAACACTTACCCCAACAAATCGGCAAACCTGATTTAATTGATATCACTATTCCTTAAGAATGACGCCTGATGTATTGATGCCTAACTCAGTACACAAATGCGATCAGAAGCCTACTGGCTCTTTTGATAAGCTTCTCACCAAGAAAACAAAGCAAAGAGGAACACTGGGCAGGGTTCTTAGGAAAAATTCTCTCCTGGTCTCTGTGGTCTTACTTGGAAAGGTATGTTTGCATTTTACTTATTCGTTCAAACACACAACAAGTTTTAAAAAAAGAAAACATAAATATATGTATGTATACTTTGTCTCTGAGGGAAAAACAATGAGACACCCCCCTAAATCCAGAAATCATGGTCCATTAGGATAACACCAACAGGTACACAAAGAATGATGATGTGAGGGTTCTAAGAGAAATTGAGATGAAGATTTATAGGTAGGCAAAGAACGGGGGAGTTCGAGGCTAGCATTTTCTAGTTTATCTTTGGAATCAACTCAGCAAATGTCACTATGAGTTAGAATCAACTTGACGGCAATGAGTTTGGTTTTCTGGTTAATGTCGCTCACAAGTTGTGTGACTGTAGTTCCGTCACAACTTCCCTTGGAGTCTTTGTCTAAAAATGGAAAATAATAGTGGTACCTACCTCTGGGATTATATTAGTCAACACATGTTATTAGTGTGCCTACCAGGGACCAGGGAGCTCTGGTAGCATAGTGGCTAAGACACTTGACTGCTAACCAGAACGCTGGCGGTTCAAACCCACCAGCCACTCCTCGGAAGGGAGGTTGGGCAACCCTACTTCC